AGTATAGTTTCAGTGGTTGCTCAATGAAGGGAAGCCAAGATTGGAAGAGGTAGGTTAAATGTCATCAGAGGAGTCTAGGCTGTAGTGTGGGCGAGGGCGGGGCTGAGTCTGCAGCCCCAGGGAGCCTGTCTGGGCCTGGGGCAAGGGGCGTGGTATGGGTATTGGCATCATTACCCAGGGGTGGAGCAATCTGTGGGCGTGTCTAGCTTGGGGTATATTAGAGGATGCTGCTCCATGGTTCCTAAGTTCACCATGGAGAAAGCTTGAGGAGTAGAGTGCAACATGGCTTCCAAAGGTGAGGTTTTTTAGTGGAGGGTTGTTATGATATTTCGTGGTAGGGTGCGGACTGCATGCAGGAGATTTCTTATAAAATTTAGAGGTATTTGGAAATATTTCCAAGCCAAACCATATATTTGGTAGTCCCACTTAAAACACACACACACACACACACACACACACACAAATTAAGCGGCATGCCTAGAAGACGTGCAGCATGGGTGAATGGATGTAGTTCGATTGGCCAGGTACTGCTCTGGGTTGAGGTCCAGGGATAAGTTCTTTGGGTTCTCATTCTCTTTCTCCTTTCCTGTGGGATGAAGTATTAGCCAGGCATGGTGTGTGCGTGCCTATCATCCCAGCTATGTGGGTAGCTGAGGTGGGAGGATCCTGACTTCATGGCCAGTCTAGGAGATTTTAGATATTAATAGGCACAGAGGTGGTAAAGGGCCCAGAGTGAAGAGAAAAATAAAATCAAATCAACAGGATAGGCTGGGGTGTGGCTCCTCAGCAGAGTGCTTGCCCAGCAGGCAGGAGCCCTTATGCATGAAGCCTTGGTTCTTTCTGGCTTCCTCCAGCACAAAACAAATCAAATGCAAACCAAGACATGGGCATAGCTTAAAGTTAGGGTACTTGCCTAGCATGTCCCAGGTCCTGAGTTAGATCTCCAGAACCCAAGAATGAGGGAGGGGCGAGAAAATATACTAGAAGAATTTAATGAGTGATCCTGGGGATTGTTTATCAAGTTCAGTTTTTTTTTTTTTTAAATATTCTGTGGAATTTAGAAATAAATTTAGAAATAAATTGGATAGGGGCTGGGGATGTGGCTCAGGCGTTAGTGCGCTCACCTGGCATGTGTGCGGCCTGGGTTCGATCCTCAGGACCACATACAAACAAAGATGTTGTGCCCGCCGAAAACTAAAAAATAAATATTAAAAAATACTCTCTCACTCCTTCTCTCTCTCTCTCTCTCTTTAAAAAAAAAAAGAAATTGGATAGTGGAAGAGATTTAGGCACATTATTTTGTGTGCAGAGTGGACGTTCAAAAGTCTTTGTTGTAGTTTTGATTTCTTTTTGTCGATGATCCCTTGCTGAAAGGTGAAGGCTGTGGGTTCAGCTGTAGCTGTCTTGCAAGTTACATGACCCTCCTCCCAAGTGTACATAGTGGACTCAGGAGTCCACTGGGCACATGGTCTCAGAGGAAAAAATGTTCAGGAACCTCCCCCTCCCCCCAAAACAACAACAGTGTTGAATTACTGCAGTCTGTATGGGATGTGAATTTCTCCACGAAGCCATCATGGATCTCAGGGAAGTAGGCACCAGAGGCCCTGCTTCTACCCATGGGGCTATTGCAGTTCACAGGATGATATCTTTGGTTGCTGTTTTTACTACTGAGCTTTGACTTCCAAACCCTCACGTTTTTCAAACAATTGAAGGACGAACATTTGCTTTTCAGAAAATCTGAAACTTTTGTATATGAGTTTTTGGGTGAGGAGTGGGATGAACCAGACCAGAAGCTTTTCTGAAAACTTGGCTGTGCTCATCTGGACCCTCCAAGTGTGAATAGGTGATTTTGTTGTTGTTGTTTTTAAATTTTAAATTCCCATTTAGGTGTTGTTTCAATACATTGGGTAATTTGCAATCTCATGTCCAGTACCTCATGCTGCACATCTTTGATGGTTCTCTAGAATAAGTGGTTGAAAAGTGGTAGTGCTTATGAAAAGCTGAAGAAACTTTCTGTCTCCTAGGTCCCATTATTAAAAGCATTGCTTCCTTTACTCTTGTCAGCAGCCTCTTCTAGACAGGGAGAAGCCTCAAATGTACTCTCCTTAGCTCACCATGATGACTAAATACTATGTTCAAAATTTTTTTTTCTATATAAAATTGTTTTTTGCTCCATAAGATATAACTGAATATGCCTGTATTTTAAGAGGAATTGAATTCCTCATATTAAAATAAACAAAAAAAAAAAAAAAAAAAGCAACGTTTCCAATCTGGCATTGCTTAATGGTGAGCATTTTTTCTGAGAAACATATGAGGAGATTTTTCTTGTGTAGACATCATAGAGTGACTTACAAAATCTAATATAACTCTGATGTCAATAGTAACTCAATGATATGCCATGAGGCATCAGCATCATATATCCAGTCCATCCTTGGCCACAACATTGTTATGTGGTTTATGGCTGATAGAAAATCGCTCTGGGCTCAATCTGACTGGAATGGAGTCAGTGTTGAAGCCCCTGAAGTTCGTGTGTGAAAAACGCATGTGCCCTGCAACTTTATTTGTAGGTTGGGCCTTTCAAGCCAAAGAGGCCCCACTTTGAGATTGAATTAAATCTGTTTTCAGGCACAGGTTAGTTATCATATAAGTGACTTTACTTCAAATGTAACCTATGTTTGTGTAAAGTGTACAGATTCATATTTTCCCTTTGGATCTATTTCCTTGAGGTTTTTTTTTTTTTTTTTTTTTTTTTTTTTTTTTTTTTTTTTTTT